TATTCAAAATGAGCCAAATGTAGTTACCTAAAAAAACCAAGAATAAGAATCAGCACATAATAGTCTACCCTGAAGGGAGAAATATAATTATGCTGCTTACAATAGTTTTAAACTCATAGAGCTCAAGAAAAATGCCAGATTATACCCCCATAGTATAAAAGCATATTCAGTTTACAATGCATCTATTCATCTGGAAGTGCCCAGTAGAGCTAGGACATTGGAAAGTAATAAAATAAGTTTGTTACCTCAAATAACCTAATAGAAAGTGTACATCTGTAATGAGCAATTTCTCTTCCTCTTTCCCACTCTATCTCTCCTTCTCTATTTCTATTTTACACACACACACACACACACACACACACACGCACCACCGTTTATGTGGTTACCCTATTACCTGGAAAGGGCTAAACCTCCACTTCTAATTTCTTAGAATTAAACAGGGCAACAAAACTGGTATAGGTCAGAATCAAGCTCAGATACTGCCAGCACCTGCACAATTATCTCAGTGCCAAGAAGTCTGAGTACAGACCACATTCCTAGACTTACTAAATAACAACACATCTATTAATCACTTATATACTGTAGAATAATTGCTATCAATGTGAATTTACCTAAAGAAATAAATCTGCAATTTGCAGGACAATTAGTCAAAAATTTAAGGAATTTTCCTGGATTGAGATGTTTGTATTCATCTCCATTAATCATAATTCTCTTCTGTATAAAAGTATGTTTTCTAAGTACTAAAAGAGAAAAAATAAATTTTTGTGCTTTCTAACACATAACAGTGAAATCCAAGTAAATATTAGAAATTATTGGCAAATAATTGGTAAATAATAGGAAGTAGTCTTCTTCAACTGAGACACAGAACAGTTTTACTTGGAAGACTTGCACTGACAATGTACAGTAAATTGTGTATTTTGTCTCCAATTTCTATAGGCAAACTTTTTTCAAGGACTCTTAAGCTCTCTGCCTGGCATCGTATTTGCTATATAATCTTTCCTATTTTTACCTAAAGCCCTCAAAGACAGGAGAAAAGTAATCTACTGAGTAGTTCTATATTGTCATTCTCACCAAATTTTTATGCCGTTTACATAAAAACTACGTTATTTTTACAATTAGAAAGAAATTCTCAGCCTATTTATTAATAAGGTCTTATTTCAATCTAAAATAAAATTTCAGTTAGGAGGGTACAAAATCTAACTAAATTAACATTAAGTATTTTCACTTTAAAGTAGTATATTTACACATCAAAACTGAATCCAGCATAGACATTTCATCATAAAAGTACCTGGTAAGAAAGGTTTTAGCGATTGAGGGATCACAAACAAATTAGATTGTCTTCTGTAAATGAATAGCTTTTAAAAGATGAAAAAGTACTCAGATATTTGTAGGTAGACACACACACATACACACACACACACACACACACACACATAGCCTTTTAAAAAGAAGGAAACAGACACATGCTACCATAAGGATGAACCTTGAAGACATTATGCTAAGTGAAATAAGTCAGTTATATAATGACAAATAAGGTCTTGGAGTAGTCCAATTCAGAGAGACAGAAAGTAGAATGGTGGTTGCCAGGGGCTAGGAGAGATGAATAGGGCATACCTTATTTAAGAGGTATAGAGATTCAGTTGAAGAAGATGAAAAGGTTCTGGAGATGGATGATGGTAATGGTTATATAGCAGTGTGAATGTACTTAAGGTCACAGAACTATACATTTAATGTCTAAAATAGAAGAGTAACATTCTGAAAACTAAACATCAATCTATCTAATCACAAATGAAGAAAAGGAATGACTTAATATCCTAATTTTCCTAAAAGACACTTAAACCTACAGAGTCTTTAATTTCACTGTTTTATGTTTTGCTTTTCTTTATCTTTTAAATGCTCAGATCCCTAAGTTCATTTGATTCAATGTATTCATTTTTTGTGTTATGGGATCTATGAAGGGAAAATCAGACTCTAAGAATCACCAATTGTTATGTTCATAAAGCCCATATTCTCCTTGAAGTCTAGGCTACACTGCAAAAAATACAATTTCATATCACATAGTAGTATATTTTTATAATAAGCATTATCCTGTTATACAATTTTAATCCAAATGTTTACTGTGACTAGTCCATGCTATGCTGAATTATACTGCCATTATAGAATGTTTTGAATTTTAAATAATGCTTTGACATTTCAATCTTAACTAAGTAGAATTTTTGAAGAATCATTGGACCATGCTTTATACAATTCATAATAATCCATTTTCAAATTTACTATTTTCATGATGAGGCTACAAAACATACTGCAATCTAAAGTAATGCAACATTTCAATTAGGGAGAACATACAAATTGACTATGACAGTGGTGTGTATGCATAGCAGTTAACATGGACTTTGCAGTCACAGGGTCTGAGATTGAATCCTGATTCCAACACTTACTAGAGATATAAGCAGGTAAATTACATACTTTATTTAATCTCAGTTCTTTATATTAAAAATGTGTGTGTAAATGATATTGAGAACTATGCATATAAAACTAATGGATGTTTGACATAAAATAAATTCTAACAGTAGCTTTTAAAAACAGCCATAACAACATATAACATGTAGAAATAAGCAATGTTGAATCAAAATACTTTATATATAAATGTCTTAAAACGAATCCATAGTTTGTAGCTCTAAAATAAATCTAGGAAGGAAAGACAAATTGTATTTTGTAACATTCATTTTCTTTTGTTCATCTCTTCCAAATAACTTGACTTTTAATATACTTTTTAAAAGGATATTAAACCAAAAACTGAACAGTAGAACTAGGTATGTGTATGAGTATACATACACACATTCATACACACATACATTCCTCTTTCATGTCTATATACAATTTGAGGAAGTTGTATAGAAACATGAGGAAAAAAGTTGAAAAGCAGGAAGAACCACAGATAGTGAGGGTAAATACAAATACAAATGTAGGCAAATTTCCAAGTATGATTGTTTGAAAAAATTCACTCAGATCTCATTATTGTTAGAAAAAAAACATACTGTAATTCTTGTGGTAGTTACCCTTGGGGATGAATCCACAAGTCCAGAAAAGTCAGATAGTTTCATCACTTCTTATCAATGTAGGCAAAAGAATTTATTGTTTTAAACAAAACTAAACCTCTACCAGTTACTACTACTACTAAAATTTTCTAAAGTAAATGTTATTTTATAATAAGATTTCTGCCACCATTTCCCTAGGAAGCACAAAGAGTTTCTACAGTATCATATATGTATATGTAGTTTTACTACATAAATATAAAGTAAAATTCAAAAATCCTATCAGACTTGTGTTTCCAAAAATGCATTCCTAGGAACACTAATGACAGAAGACTGTGGAGAGAAAAAAAAGGAAACTGTAGTCAAATAAGCTGATATCAGGAAAACATTGCATTCTATATCTACAGTACTAGAGATTTATAACATTATTAACATAAAAGGTTCTGAGAAGTCCTGCAATGAGCAGAGCTGTTTACATATTTTTATCAGTATTTTAAAAAGTTACCAAGTCATGGAAATTCTTATTTCAGGCAATAGCAAATAACTAGAGTCAATCAGAATATTTTTTTCTGGAAAATATACAATAAATTTTCTATGATTATTTCTTACATGAGTAATTTCATATTTATCTGTTCCAAAAAGGCAGCCACTGGCAGAATTTGCTAAAGTCTCAAAATAAGCCCATTGTATTCCATGTCAAAAAAATTAATATATCTAGGCTAGCATTTGTACTCTCTTCAAAAAGTTGTAGTTATTTACAGGATATGTATTTTGACTGCTTACAACGTGTATGTTATTTTTTCAATTCCAAACACTCAGTTTCTAATACCTTAGAAAAGTTAAAAATGAATATTACCCAGTCTAAGCCACTGCTTTTTTTTCTGGGTTTCACTACAAGATGAGAAAATCTTGAAACTACAAGCTACAACACACTTTCAAATATGAAATTACTAAATTCAGTTACAGTATTTTATTAACAGATGCCATAAGCCTACATTTATGCAATTCTACAGTAAAATAATTAATGTTTTACATTCATCCTGCAGCAAAGTGGTGATTATTTCATTCATCTAACATTCTCCTAATACCCCTATTAAGTATATAGAACACAATACTGTAATAACTATTGTATCTATAAAAATTAAGCGACTTTCCCCAAGTACCAATAGTTAGGGAAGATCAATTTCTTTTTGGGTGTACACTATACATATTACAACTACAGAAACTGTGTCAGATAATCACACTAAAATGTGAATAAAACATGAAATTCCTTTACTAATAGCTTATTATTTAAGGAATTTTCTTGTTTGAAATAATTTTGGAACACAATTTGCTAGAAAGCTGAACTTGAACAAAATTCTGATGGCTTGACAGCTTGAATACAGAATTTTAAAATGTCTTAACAACTGTAATGAGGTATTCATTACTTTGTGTTTATATTAGATGAAACAAAATAAGCACTACAATTAATTCAGAGTAAAGTGTGAATGTGAATGATTATGCTGCCAGCCTGTGACATCACTTTCTTCTTAGCTTCTCCCTTCAGTTTCAAAAGTATATTCTTAAAGGTGTAACAAAATGTGTAAGATGAAAGAGATATAAACTACTTTTAAAAAGATCTGAAAGGGAGGAAATAATGATGGCTATTAAACAAATGCCATATTTTGGTAACCCCTGGACATTTGGTCATTGATTTTTAAAATAATACAGAACAACCTGGCCATTAGAAAAAAAATACTTTGAATCATCTATTGCAAAATACATGTAATCACAGTGTTTCATATTATAGTAACTCATTCATAACACTTTATGAGAGGTAAGGTAATTAGTCAAAGAGGAGGAAACTGACATGAAAGGAGGGAAGAATGGTGACAATTCAGTAAAGGAAAAGGAGTTAAAATATCAGGCTCAAGTTTTGCAATTTTTTTTAATACAGAAGCAGAGGCAACAAAAATTGGTCTTCACCTGGTAAGTGTGTACTCCCTGAGTCCTGAATGCAAATTCATGGCAGAAAAAGTACCTATGCATCCACGCAATCTTTTGTCTCGACCAATCTTCCATGTTACAAACAGTGGGCTGTAATGGAAGATAAAAATAGGGTAAATCAATCAATTCAACTCAACCAAGTATATTTATTGAGTATTTACCATACACTAGACTAGGTGCCTGAAACATAAAGACTAAAACACAAGCCCTCAAGGGGCTCAAGACCTAGCTCTATAGTATTGCATTTAGCAAAACTTGTATGCATACTGAGTATGTCCTATGTGTAGGGCACCACAATAAATGTTTTAACAAATTATTCATGTTAAAATTCATTAATAAATTTAGGAGGTTGATGCCAACATTCTTATTTACAAATTAAGTAGTTCCACAATTCATTCACAATGAAGTAGGTACTCAAATCTGGGCAAAGTCGCCTACAGCACCTTAACCATCATGGACTACTACTGAATTCCTTACATAAACTACAAGTTACTGAATGATTAATAAATCTAATTTAGAAAACTGTGGAAGGTTAGACAACCTCAATAAATACTTCCTAAAAATACATGGGCCAGGGATTTAGCTCAGTGGTGCTATGCCTGCCTGCATGGCAAGCACCAGGTCCTAAACTCAATCCTTGGTACTAATCAATCAATCAATCAAAATACAGGGGCTAGGTATACAATGTGAAAGGTGAAATGAAAAATACATAGAGGCCCAAAAGGCAATCACTGTCCTCTAGGAAAGGCATTACATAAGGCAAACTTGTTTACAACTAACTGGCACAAAAAAGGGAATACGCACTATAAACCATATCCAAGACACCATAAATTAAACTACCAGGATAAATTAAACTTTCATCAAGTTTGGTAATCTTCAGTTTGGCATAGAAATATTAGTAGGATTCACAGAGGTGAAATAAAACAGTAAACATTAACAAACTAATATTCTGAAACCAGAATGTTAATATTCTGAAACCAGACTATTTACTTTTTTTTTTTTTTTTTTTTTTTTTTTTTTTTTCTTTACCCTTATTCCCTTTCCCCTACCCTTCCCACTTTCCCTACACCTTTAGTGCTTATTGTTTTTTTTTTTTTTTTGTTTGTACCAGAGATCGAACTTGGGCCCTTGCGCTTTCAAGGCAGGCACCAGAAGCACTGAGCTTAATCCCCAGCCCATACCTTAATTTTTATGTAAAAGCATTGCTTGTAAGTATGACCTCTTAAGCATCAAAGAGTAAAGTATCAATTGTAATAAGATGACATCAAGAATATTCCGGCTTTTTTATATTTTCTATTTTTATTTTTAAAAAAACAGGGACTCTCTATGTAATACAGGTAGGCTTGAACTCACTATATAGCCTAGGCTGGCCTCAAATTTGAGGTGGTCCTTCTTCAGCCTGTTGAGTGCTAGAATTGCAGGTGTATGGCATCATTCCTGGCTAAGAATATTGCGGTTTAAACGAAGTTTAAAATAGTACATACATGGACTCTGTAGCAAACCAATGACATCCAATAATTAATGGTTAAGTCCAATAAAGAACTGTTGCAATTAAAAGCAACTTTACATATCAGTTTTTATGAAACAAATTAATTTATACGTTTTAGGACATTTTGTGAAAAGATAAATAAACCACAGTTCAGCCTGCATTAGTAGGAATATTCCCAGTAATACTGATATACTATGATACATTTCTGCTTTCTACATATTTTAATTTTAGACAGAAATACCATATGTTATATTTCTTATATTATACTAGTGAGTTTGAGAGCATTCTTTCTTTGAAATACTTTCTTTGAAATATTCAGTCATTAGCAAATACATGAAAAGATATTTCATTCAATCATCCACCTCAAAGATCTAAATTATGCAAAGTTCTGACAGCCACAATGGCAAAAAGGTTTGCAAATAAAACATGTATACAAACCAGGAAGCAATACTAAAAGTTATCTTCTTCCAAGAGCCAAATATTCAGTAGCACGAAAAAGGATAACTGAAGTATAAGATCAAATTTAGCATGGGGAGGATGATGGGGGGTGATTGAAGTATGTTATGTGCACATACATACCTGCCCAAATGAAACTCATTGATCTGTATAACCACTATGTATTGATAGAAATGAGGGGGGAAATGGTATTCAGGCACTGGATAAACTACAGTAAAACTATGTTATGTTTTGTGTCTTGATGTCCCCATAAAGTCTCATATAGTCACAGGCAGGACTTTTCAGACGTGGCTGGATCTAGAGTGTGTGATTCTGGGATCAAAGGTGTGTGATTACTAAATTAGTCCACTGATTGGTTTGGCATATTTATGGGCGTAGACAATGGGAAGGCCCTCCATGGGTATGAGTGCTACATGCCTGGACAATACATAGGGAAAAGGGCTGCTATGGGTCACTGTAGCTTGCTGCTTCACTACTTTGCTGCCCTCTCCCCACCATGAACTGTTTCTCCCCTATGATGCCCCTCTACCGTGCTACCCTGCCTTGGATCCAGCCAACTATGAAATGAAACCTCTACAAACTATGAGATAATCTAATAAATCTTTCCTCCTTCAAACTTGGGTGTCAGGTATTTTGTCTCAGCAACAAGAAAAGTAACTAAGACAAGCTGCTATATTAAAAAGCAAAAGGTAAAGGCCAGGTTTTCTGCTATTTCATATATGCAATAAATAAATATCTTACAACTTGAGACAAGATACTCCATAGAAAAATTTCTCTAATTGCTTATCCAGAAGTTGACTAGAAAACAAAAATTAGGTGGGATTGCTTCCTAACCAATTCTTTCATTACTCATACAACTAGTATCCTAAAATGTATAAATTCTCTTTAAAGGTGAATTTCTCTTCTTCATTTTTCACTCTCTGACTTGGTAGAGTCGTTATCAGCAACCATATTTTATGGACACTAAGATATCAATCCTCTCCCACCACAATGACTATACAGTATCTCTATGTAAGCAGATACTTTGGGAGCTTTGGCATCTTCAGAATAAAGTGAATCAAAAATACAAAAATACAATACATATAACATGTATAGTACTTATATAAAATGTTTCCTTAAAATACCATGATAGATACTCCGGTTTCTCTTCAGATCGTATAAATCTTTCACCATTTAAAATACTATGATAGCTTCTCAACACAGAGCTATGTCATATATTCCCTTCCTCAGTGACCTAGGTGAGAAGCCCAAAAATGTGAGTGAATTTATTTCCTATCAAAAACACTAGAAATGAAAGTCATTTCAAATAGTTTGCCTTCAAGTGTCTTACTTATGCCACTAAAATATGTATACCAGTATATATATAATTCTTAATAACATAACTTGATCTGCTCAAGTAAATATTCTAAATATAAATGATCTACAGAAAATATACAAACTGAGCACTGTAGTATGGATATGTTGGGGGGCGTTCAAACACATGGTGGGGGAAATCACATACCATTTAATGAAATGCTATGCTATTACTGATGAGAGAATGATTAATTCAGAGCTTGGGGTGCTAGAGGATAAACCTGCATTTTTGCAAGACAGGCTGCCGAGCACAGGCATTTCCAAATAAGGAAGAGCATGGAGATGCAAAAGTGCATAACATATTTATGGACCAGGAAGTAATCTAATAGTCTTGATAAGCTTCCAAAGCCTTGTGTAGATTTAGCATTCTTTGAATTTTAGGTACTATTGAGTACATGGTTCTTAAGAGCCTTCATAAGAGGTAAAATATATACATATATACTCTATACTGTACTTGTTCCTTACCTGCCCCAGGCAACTTCCACTTTCGGAGTTGAGATTGTGGGACAGTGTCTATGTCAAAGATGAGGGCAACCCTACTGTGTTTAAGACAAATGCCTAAAGATGGAAGAAATCAGACTTTTAGTATACAGAATAAAACTATTCCTTAAGAATCTGCACTGCTGATTTCTCATCTATAAATACTTATCCAAAATCTTTTGTGAAAAGATATACACAGGATTAAAAATAACAAAAATGTCTAAAAGCAACATTTAATGGGGAACAGAATCAAGGAAATCAAGCATTTTAAAGTAGACTGAAACAAAATAAACATAACTAAGTACAATAGATTGCATCTTGTGTATGATAACTACTTTGTACTGGGCAATGACTACAGTAACATTCAAAATGCATTATCTAAAAATAGCAGCAAAATATTTTCTTCATCCTACACACAGGAGGAAGGAACAGACAATTTCATTCTTAAATGTGCTATTAAAACATGTATGAGTTCCCAAAAGGGCCTAAGTTAAGACAGCAGCACAATAAGAGACAGATCAAAGTAGAAAAGGGTTTGTGAGTCTGTTGAGAAGAGCTGCTCAAAGACAAAAAAAATAAAGAAAATAATTCATAGAAGACAAAGATTAACCATTTCTGTAAAATGCTTTTGTCATGTGATTTAAAGCCACCTACATATGCAGAAAAAATACTACAAAGTAGAAGGGGCTGAGGCAGGAGGATTGCGATGAGTTCAAGGCCAGCCTGGACTACATAGTAAATTCAAGGCCAGCCAAAACTACATAGTAAGGCTTTTCCCAAAAAAATAACACAAAGCAAAGCAAAACAAAAACACATAAAATGAGGAGATGAAATCTTAGTGGAAATGTCTGAGGGTTACCAGGTAGAGCTTTTTAAAGAGTTCTCCTTTTGAACATTTTGTACCACTATACGAAACATTAGGAAGAAAATAAACTTCATTTTCTCAAGTCTGTACACTGACAGGAAGAGGACGTAACCTCCTAATCTAGGTGAATCCTCTGTACCAACTGGCAGAGAATTATGTCAGGTGAATGGTGACTGTGAGGGAAATATAGTTGCATGGAATTAGCAAAAGTACAAAAAAATAATGAAAATCCATGCCTCTCTTCTGATATTCTATTAATGTAAGCCAAAACAGATGAGAAATATATTTTTGGGAGTAGAGTACAGTTAGAGAAGACAATGAAAAAGGAGTATTTAATTTAAAATATGGTACCTTTAATTCTATTTCTCCTGCCATACTAAGGCAAAACTGGAAGTAAAAAGTATAATTTTAAACCATTTGCAAGCTGACTCTGGCAATTTGCTGTTC